TGCTCGCTCTCAAATTTAACCTCCGCCACAGTTTGAGGTAGCAAGAATGTTCTCATCGACATTTTAGAAATGAGGACATGTAGGCTCAGAGAGTTAAGTGACCAACTCAGACCATAAGCAGAGACTCCCATTTCCAAAGCCGAGCTCTTCCCACCGTAAGCGCAGCCTTTGTGGCACAGGATCCCGATTGCAGGAATGGGTGCTCACTACCCTGGGCAGCTGCATCATTAACTTCAGTCACATCTAAATTGACCTCCGTAGCTTCCATCTGCTGGGTGCGGCCCAGCCCTCTAAGCAAGAGAATGAAAAGGTATATGACACCCTCAGTTCTAGAAGGGAGCCTGCCGGGGCCAACGCCACATTCATGGCTGGAGCCTGCCCGAGAGGCCGCACAGCCCAGGCCCCACCCTTCTCAGCTGCTTTCACCTGAGGATCCCACACCACAGCTTCCCTTTGCGGCCCACAGCCTCCCCTCGCGACCCCCAGTCTCAGAGGAACTCCAGGGACATCACCACCGGACCCACCATCACCCATGCAGGACTGCCTTCAGGGACAGCTCCCCTTATCCTGTCCTTGTCGCCCCAGCCCACTCTGGATAAAGGTTATTTTAGTCTGCTCTCCAGCTTTCTAAGAGATCATACAAGGCTGACACATGGCTTCACTGGAAACACCCCCTGGCACCGCCCCCCCCCCATCACTTTCTGCACGTCCAGGAGACCCCCGTCCTTCCCAGCACCACCCCCCTCTCCCCCCACCCACCTTGCTCCCGCTGGTGCCCAAGCCTCTATCTATGCAGGATGTGTGGGAGCCACGCTCCTGGCAGCCGGCAGCCCGGGCCACGCTCCTGGCAGCCGGCAGCCCGGGTGGCTGTGGGTCTCCGCCGCCTGTAGAGCTGCACAACGCGGTCAGGTGAATGGCTCCGCCCCCGGGTCCGAGCCCACACCTTCCAACGGCCACCAACGGCCACCAAAGGCTAAACCCAAGCCACAGGGCGGCCCCACTCCCCCATCCTCAGGGCTCCCTGACTCCGCCCCTCCGCCGGGCCAGCCCCGCCCACCGGGCCCTCCGCGCTCTCAGGTCCCGCCCCGCCCCTGCCTTTCTCCGGTGGCGGGGCGGCCATGGAGCCATCGCCAGCCTGGCCGCAGTGAACAGCCTCCTGGGCCGGAGCGACTCCGCATCCCGGGTCCTGGTCCCCTTCCCGCGCCCCGCCACGCTGACCCAGAGGACGTGGCCGGGAGGAACTTGGCGCCGTGTTCCCTGCCTGTCGGCTTGAGAAGTGGGGACCGGCTGAGAGAGCCAGGCAGCTGCTGCACCGCAGGGGAAAGTCTTAGAGAGGCCAAGAAAGCCGGCCGTGGGGACCCGGGAGGGCGGCTGACTCCTGTGACCGGAGACCCACGCTCCGTGGTTAGTTGCGCGGGCAGACGGGTCAGAAGGGCCTGGGTCTGGCTCTGAGCGGAGCCAACGCGCCCCTGGCGGGAGCTAGTCCCAGGCCAGCGGCCACTCCCAGCACCCTTATCCTTGCTGCCAGCTGGGCCAGCTGTACTCCGTGCCCCACCCGCTCCTCCCCAATTTGTGTACCATTTCTTTCGAAAGTAGACCAATGCCCACGTCCATCCATAAAGATGACCGGAGTCCTGTCCAGAGATCCTGGCTGGGCGGAGGTCGGGGTGGGGGGTCAGGAAACGCAGAGTCTGAATGGGGCTGAGGATCTGAGATAAAGGAGGCACAGGCAACGGAGGTTTCAGGCGAGATTCCAGGCCAGGGAATCAAACTAGGGTGGAGGCAGGGGCTGCTTCCTGGGCTGAGGGCCCTGGCTGTTATGGCCCTGGGAGACTAGAGAAAGTGCTCAGGAAGAGCCACCGGTGCAGTAGGATCTGATCCTATCACCTGTTCAGGGAAAGTGGGTGAGGCATCAACAGCATCTGCTCCAGCATGGTAGCTGCTTGCTGGGGAGTGGCGGGAGGGTGAGAGAGAAGTGACCACCATGGCCTCTGCTGGTGGGAAAAGGCAAGGCAGGGCTGGATTGCAGGATGGTTGGGGTTATGTGCTCTCTTGACGGTGGTGGTTGCAGCTTATTTCGAAACTAGATGCACAGAAACAATGGATAGGGCTTGCTTAAGGCAAAGATAAGCCTTTCACTAAGAAATTATATACCTGGGGTATGACTACCCACCATGGCCCTGCCCAATTAAGAATTTGTGATCAGATCACCCCACAAGGTTACTTTTCATAGAACCCCTTTTTTCCTCCACATTATAATGGGATCTCTACCATCGAACACAGTGGCTAGCACGTGATAGTTGTTCAATATAAATTGAATAAATGAACGTTGTCTTTAGCAGCTTGGAAGTATAAGATCTTGTGATTGCTTCTTATTCTCCACTGTTCATTATCTGTGAGAGTCATTTATGTAATAAGTAAAAACCCATAAGGATTATCTTGATTAATAGCTTGGTCTAAAAATACTCCCCTATGGATTATTTTTAGTCTAAATTTTCCAAAAACAACTTCACCTGTGAGGTCAGTACTAATGGGAAGTAGGCAGCTGTTTCCAAAAGTTTTAGACCAATATTCAGATTACTTGGGCTCCCTGTTATTTATTAGATGTGATATATTGTATATAGGATATTGACACTCCTCCTCTGTAAAATGAAGAATCTCATTTCTGCCTGCTGCATAATCATTGTTAAAATGAGATCATTTCTGTAAGAGCACTTTGAAAATTCTAGGACTCTTTCTAGAACTCTAGAACTGTTGGAACTTATTTTTGTTATTTCTTTTCAGTAATTGATCCAGGCCCAACCACTCTACCTTATGGTTTGTTTACAGTTCACAATACCCATATGGAATGATGACAATTTCTCCCTTGCTCTCCCCCATTTTGAACTTGATTTCTTCTTAAAGACTAGAGGCCCAGTGCACAACATTCATGCACTGGAGAGGTGGAGGTCCCTCAACCCAGCCAGTGCCCCTCGCAGTCTGGGATCCCTCGGGGGATGTCTGCCTGCTCCTCCCAAGGGGTCCTTAGCACTGCAGCAGAGGAGGGAGAGGTTCCCACCACCGCTGCTGCACTGGCCAGCAGTGAGCCCAGCTTCTGGCTGAGTGGCACTCCCCCACTGGGAGCACACTGACCACCAGGGGCCAGCTCCTGCATTGAGCGTCTGCCCTCTGGTGGTCAGTGTGCATCACAGCGATCAGTCATTCTGCCATTCGGTCAATTTGCATATTAGGGTTTTATTATATAGGATATTTGGTTTCTTTAATGTTTCTTCTTAAAGGTATTTACAGATGCAATTAATCCTTTTATTGTCTGTGCAGGAGTAAGCTCTCTAATGTTTTATTTGCCTCCTGTATTAGATACAATGCCACACACATTTCCTTTGTCCAGTTACTTCTTGATGGCAAGAAAACTATTTGTGGATTGAAATCTGAGGTATAAAATGTGCCATTCTTCACTATCAAACAATCTAAAAGCACATGAAACTTGAAGTGATTCTGCAGAATAATGACTAATGCTCATCTGACAAAATCCCAAACTCTGTTTTAACTCTATTAATAAGTGGGCAGGGAGAGTAGGAAGGAGGAAGAGGGAAGAGGGAGGGAGGGGCACACAGTCTGAGGCAACTCTACAGTCTGCTCTGTCCCCTGGTTTGAATCACTTCTTCACCCAAGGTGCTAAACCGAGGTCTAGAATGGCCAAGCTGTCATCTCCTGCTGTGGATGGTTTCCATAGAAACATGAACAGAAAGGCCACCCACAGTCCCCTGAGGGCCCCCTTGTGCATTTTCACTGCTAAGATGCAAATGCTCCTTTCCTAACCCAGAGGCCCAGGTGGCTGCCTTTAGGCTGCAGGAGTGTGCATTCTTAAGTTGCCAGGTGCTACAGAACTCAGACTTCCCAATTGGCTGCTACCTTTCTCTAATATCTTCAAGCAGAGACTTAACTGGGAAGGATGTGCAGATGGCCACAGGAGTTCAGGAACGTGAGCAAGGCACAGAAGATGGATATAGGGAACATGACCACAGTTGCCTTTCTTGTTTATCAAATTAAAATCTCTCACAGAAATAGAAATTGAATTTATCATCCTCCAGATTGGAAAAGTAGGTCACTGCTAAGAGAGGTAGAGACCTCTTCTCCGAGTAAGCATTTGAAAAATGAAATCAGTTTTCTAAAGATTGTGGAATAACAACCATTTTGACCCCAGCCATGGCCACAGAGCAAAACTAAATATATTTGGAGGGAATTAAATAAGACTTCAGAAATCTGGGTTTAAAACTGCTTAGTTCATTGAAAAGAATGTATGTGTGGCCTTTAAATTTTCCTTCTTTTGAAATTGTACACATTCTCCCAGAGAAAGTAACTGATTAAGGAAAACTATCTCATTCCAAGGGGTGAAAATAAAAAGACAATGAAGGAAGAGCAAACTAGTTGCAATGCCTTTTGTCCTGAAAAGTGCTGTTATGTCCTGACTCAACAATGATATATCTAAAGGAGGTTCCAGCTCTTTCCTTTGCTCCCTGTACCCCCTGACCCCCTGGAGCCTATCTTAATGCTTATGTGGCAAACAGCTGGTGCCCTCTGCTGGAGAATAACCAATAGCACTGCTTCCCTGTTGTAGAAATCAGAACTTAAAAATTTTGGTAAAGACAGGAAAGTATTCATTTTCTGCTCTAATCTATTATAGTCTATAATGATATTTTATTTTCTAAAAGCTTAAAATAAAACTGTGAAATTCTGTCAAGTAATTAACAGAATTACTCAATGTTTACAAAGATTCATTAAAAGAACTTGAACAAAGCCAAAGAATTCAGTGTACATTTTAAACTATTTAATAGAGGTATTTGTTGTACATGTGGTTTTAGTTTAACATGAACACAAAATTTCTCTATGAAAACACTTAACCTGAGTTGGAAATGAAATCTGAAGAAATTTTAATTCACAAAAATAACTATTCAAAATATAAGCAATAATTGATCCGAATTGAGGAGTTTCCCTGAAGTTCAAGGCTCAGACCCAGGACAGGAATGAGGGAAAACTCCTTGTATTTCAAAAGCTCTGCTGAAGTCATAGGATTGCACTTGCGGGCCCTTAATGAGAGTGAGCTTTCTCAAACAGCCCCGGAAGGAGGTCTTGCTACTCAGGCAGTTTTGCTTTACATCAGCTGTTTGGGAAAAGAAGAGAAGTCCTGGTTAATTTTGTTAAAATGACATGCACAACACAATAAGAACAAAAATAAACTCAACTGGCTTTTATATCAAAATTAGAATAATATTCTTCCACACATGTGGCTTCTGTGATAAGTCAATGAAAACTTTATGTAATAATTTAAAGGCATAGTTGTGACTTAAAATGTCATAAGAGGTGTTTATTTTATCATTTGTAACAGTTACTTGGAACATCTGGAAATGCATAATTCTAACCCAAAACCAATGTGAGAGGATAAGATATGTATTTGTCTTCTAAAATGATTATCCACCCAAAAATGATTCCTTATACTGGGACTCACCTACTGTGACTGGCCTCAGTAAACTCCCCCAGCTTCTTTTCCATCACATCCAATATTCTCTGAGTCTTACCTAATCATCAATTTACATGTGTATTTTATTTTAATTTCCCAAGAATTCCTAGGTATTTGAAATAGCCTTTCTAAAACAGTAAAGGATTTGTTACCCAAACAATGTATTTTTCTTAATCCCTATTCTGTATCCACCTGAATTAAGACTTCCCCTAGTGACAATGCCCTGGAAAATGAAAGAGCAGAGCTGACACCCATACGTACCAGGATAGCCACCAACATAAATGGGATTGTTGGTGTCCACTGAGGTGGACTGGATGTGTGGACTTTCAGCATGAACGGCGTTCCCATCCACGACCAGCACCACGCGGTGCTTGCTTTTGTTCGCTTGCAGTGTGTGCCATTTTCCATCACAGAGAGTGTGGGGAGCTTTGGGCTCGTATGCGGCTGTTATCCTACCAGCACCATTGTTCACATGAAATAAGAGCTAAACAAACAACAGACACAAGCAAACATCTTAGTGAAGTTTTCCGTATTTAAGGAGCACAGTCCATTTCTATAAATCACTTTAAGTGGATAAAATACAAGCCTTTTGCCAAAAGGGGGAGCAAACTAAAAAATAAACACTCGTTTTTAAAAATAGCCTCTTAAAGAATTCAGATGCTATCTTATCCCTGAAATTTCAGAAAGGGCAACGGCCACCTTCATGGGAACACGGCTGAGCCACCACCTAACTTAGCATTGTGTCCTCAAGTCGATTCCCCCTTTTCAGGACAACAGGAGCTGATGGCTTTACTGCGGGTGTCAGTTCCTAGCAGCTGCTAGCACCTATGGAGCAACATTTACTAACTCCCTTCTGACAAACTATCGATGCTCCACCACAACCACCTGGGAGGGAAGAATTATAAGTATACTGTTGTAGGGTTCTTATGTTATATGTGAAGCTACTCAGTATTATTTCAAGGTAGATTGTGACAAATTAAAGATGTATATCGTAAACCCTGGGGCAACCACTAAAAATGTTTTAGAAGAACAATAAAATAAGCCAGTAATAGTGGTAAAATACACAGTACATCAAACATTACATTTTTTACAACTAATACACTGTGGAGAGTGGCTACAGCGTTTGGACAGGTTCAAGCCTGGGACTAACGAGAGGACACGATGCTCTCGTGGCAAAGCCACGTGCAACTCCCAGCACAATTAGAGCCAAAGGCTATAGTTGTGAGCTTGACCTTATGGTCCGAACCTGTGGTCCCACGTGGCTAAGTGATATAGGCTGCGGGAGGTGCAGCAAGTAAACAAAGCTTGATGAGGTACATGTAATTGAGTAGAATCGAAACCTGGGAGAACACTGTAACCACACCCTTACTTTGCCTCCTGGAATCTGACTATAAAATAAAGACTCAGCTTGCAGGCTGTGGCACTGTCTCTCCATCAGAGAGAGCAACATCCTATCTATACCTAGCTTTCTTCTCTTGTCTGTCTTTTCTAAATCCTTCACCGCCGCCTCACAGGTTCACCCATGGCCATGCCGGCTCACCACATTACACTTCTGATAACATTTTTCAAATGTCACATAATTTTCAAAATCCTTTTGAAGTACAGATGAGGGAGAAAGTTGGCTATAAGCCACAGGGTAGAGAGCAGCAATATGATGTAGAGGCAGTTTTGTTTGGACATGATGGTGAAGTAAGAAGGAGAAGAGGTGAAGCAAAAGGTCAGATGACTTTCTTCTATTCTCCCCACCCTCATTTAGGATCTCCTAGGAACCAAAACCCCTGTGGGGAGTAAGCAGGAAATACTAGAAACAAGAGGTAAGTTTGGGGGAATCTAGAGCATAGAGACTTGTTCCTTGTTTTTCCAGGAGGCAGTAGCTCAAGAAGAGCCAAGCATGTTAGTCCCAAGCACTTGAGTTGACCACAGTGCAATAGAAATGGTGGCAGAAATGGTAGAGAGAGGACCCTCGTCCACCACCCTGACTCCCCATGTCTTATGAGTGGCAGGGCAGACATTCCCAGGTTTTCATAGGACCCTCTGGGGGATACAGAAGGTGGCCGAAGATGAAGAGGCAGCAGTGCCTATGACAGCTGGGATGGGAAGCCTGGTCTACAAGGGACATTGGCCAAATCTCCAGGAGCAGCCCCCCTGCACTGGCAATGCTCCTACAGCCACCAGGGACAACTGGCCAAGTGCACAAAGACAGGCTGTGACTGAAGATCTGGAAAGTCCTTATACCTCATCTGCTGTCAGGAGAGAGCGCACGGAAAAGGAAAAGGCCAATTAAGGCTCCCTTCCCCTTAATCTAGTAAATAAAGCTCACCCGGATGGACTCGAAGGGGAGAGGAAGAATGAGAACTGGCAGAAACTCTGAAGGAGACATTTTTAAAACAAGAGACTAAAGTACTGTTAATTATTGAGATCATTTTGTTCCCAACACGAAGACTAGAGCCTGAAAAGCAAGAGCAGAATGCTTATAGAAAAAAATGGTTTTTTTGCATTAAAAAAATTAAACTGTGGTACATCATCCCATGGAATACTCAGCAAATAAATGAACTATTGGTACATATAACAACCCAGCTAAACCACCAGGAAATAAGGCTGAGTTGAAAAGACAATCTCAGTAGGACACATACTGCATGACTTCATTTGTATAACAATCCTGAAGATGAAGAACAGATCAGTGGTTGCCAGGGGTTAGGATGCAGGGAGAAAGTCAGAGGGGTGGCTCCAGGGAGACTGTAGTAATGGTACAATTAAGGGTCTTGATTGTGGTGGGGGTATATGAAGCTACACATATGGTAAAACACATACATGTGTAACTGGCTCAACTTAAGCTCCGTGGATTGTGCCAATGCCAGTTTCATGGATTTGATGTTGCACTAGAGTTATGCAAGATGCTGCCACTGAGGAGCCTAGGCAAAATGTGAAAGAGGACCTTTCATTGCAACTTCCTATGCATCTGTAATTATTTCCAAATAAAATTAGGAAAAATGGAGCATCTGTCCAGCAACTTAGTTTCACATTGTTCAGGAAAAGAAGTTGTTTGTATTATAGTTGCAGTTTTGCTTTAAATTCAAATTTAAAATTATAAAAGAAGTTCTTTAAAAGTATTTTAGGACTAGAGGCCCGGTGCACAAAATTCATGCACGGGTAGGGTCCATAGGTCTGGCTGGCGATCAGGGCCGATCAGGTTCCCCGCCTCCCCACCTCCCTGCCTCCTCCTTCCCTCGCTCCCTCAGCACCCTGCTGCCACTGGTTGCCCGCCATGTTTGCACCGCCCCTGGTCATCAGTGCATGTCATAGCAAGTGATCGAACTCCTGGTCTCCCAGTTGAACTCCTGAGGGGACACTTTGCATATTAGCCTTTTATATATATAGATTATCTATTTTTTAAATATTGAAACTTTTCTCCATTCCATTAAAGTGTGGGTCTAGGTATTTCTACTGTTTCTCAACTGCTCTTATCTCAGACCCTGGGTCAAAGGGTGACTTGATGGAGATAAGCACCTACCTTGCCATTCACAATCTCTAATCCAATGGCATCCACTTTGGCACTGCTGATCCCCAGGAGAACACCATTCTCTGAGGAGGTACGAAACTCAAGTGTGATGTTCACATCTGAACGAACTTTGTACCCTTCTTTGACTGAAAAACACAAGGAGAGCCCCAAGTTATGGGTGAGTCCTGCCCGGCCTAAGAAGGCTCAGGTTGGAGAGACCCCACCACCCCACAGTAGGCTGGACTGGCTGGACATTTGGACTCCTGACTGAGGTTCGGGAGACCTGGTTCTAGTAGCTCTTTCTCTGGATCCAGCTCCACCACCAGCAAGTCACCTCTCCCCTGTGAGCCTCAGCTTGCACATCTGTAAGATGAAGTGACGCTTCTAAAGACACACAATCAGTGGGGCTAAGCCAGACTGGAGCCAAGGCAGGCCCATCCTCTCATCTAGAGCCACGCAGGGAAAAAGCAAAGGGATTTATCATCTGTGCAATAGCCCATTTATTTGCCCAATATCTACATACTGGGTATGACATCATTCACTGAGTATATTAGAGTTCACACAAGTGTTTTTTTTTAATTTTTTAAATTAAAAAAATTATTGATTGATGAGAGAGAGAGAGAGAGATTGATTTGTTATTTCACTTATTTATGCATTCATTGGTTGATTCTTGTATGGGCCCTAACTGGGGATTGAACCTACAACCTTGGTGTATCGGGACAATACTCGAATCAACTTAGCAACCAGGCCAGGGCCCCCACTAGGTTTTTTTTGTTTGTTTTGTGTTGTTTTTTTTTTAAGTGGAGACTTAATTGAATGAATTTTTTATTCAGGTGAATAAAAAAGCTGAGATAAATTGGGGATATTAGCAATAATAGCAGGCAGTTGTTACCACACCCAGGGCTGGAGGAAAAATGGGAGCAGGTGGTATTACCAGAGCTTGGAAGCACAGAGTAGAGGAGAAAAGTGTACTAGCTTCTCCCCTCTCCCTCCTGCCCCAGTCTTCACCAGAACCTTCCTAGAAGCCGAGGGCAAAGTAGCCAGAGAGGTTAGTTCCCTGTGATAGAAAGGAGAACAGGAAGAAGAGGAGCATGGTTCTGAGTGCAAATAGGAAGCCAACCAGCAAATTAAGTATCTAAAATGAGGAGGCAATACCAGGTACATTATGAGGGCTAGTTCTAAGCCTGGAGGAATTTACATTCTAAAGCAATTTAGAGATTTAAAATTCCTCGACTTCTAATTGATATTTTCAACAATCTAACTGGAGTTAATTTCTTCATCAAATCCGACTTGCATTTGGCTGGCTGGTCTAGATATTTTATGCTGCTGACTTTTAATTCAAAGGCCTTTATGAACTTGGACTGCAAGAGCATGTCTTACATAAACGTGGGGAGGGTACAGATGAAAGCAGGGCCACATGTTGCCAGGAGCTGTACTGCCCTGGGGTGGGAGCCTTTGTCAGGCCATCTGGGTGGCACAGAAAGTGAGAAAGCTGTGCATTAGAAGTGGAGAAATCAGAATACACTGGAACATGTAACTAAATGGTCTTGCTGCAGCCTTGTCCAGTGGGTCCTGCCCTGTCGTATAACTCTCGGGTCCATATCATCTTACAGTGCAAGAGAATCCCAGAGATGTCTTTTGAGATTTTCGGTGATACGTACCAAGAGCTGCATATCCACTTCCTTCAAAGAAAGTTCCTTCTTGGGCCTCTGCATAGCACTGGGCTACTGCGAATGCAGACACTGGGCTGCCCTTGTCCAGCTGCTTGCTGTTCACTGTCACCTCCCCAATGCACGCGGGGATGCTGTGGGTGACCTAAACCAAATGCCGTGAGAGGGGATGGCAGTGAATACAACAAGGAGGGCAAGGGCAACATGTTCCTATAGTTCCACAAAACACATTCAAATATCATCGTTTGATTTTTAAAATGGAATTGCCACGGTACTTCACATGAATGGCTAACTGAAAGCGTAGTTAGACTCTTTGAGTATCTTTGCTAGTAATGCAGTATCTGTATTTTCTGTTATTTTGGATAAATATCATGGAAATCAAGAAGTGAGTTTTCTAATCTGCAAACACAAAGTCCCCGGACTTTCCCAAATTTCACTGGATCTAAGTAGCTGTGGAAAGACCAATGTTCATTAACCAACAGGAGGGCTGGTCGGGCTTCAAGGGGAAGCCCACACACACAAACTGGAGATGTGGTTTGAAAGGTCTGCATCTTGCAGCCAAACCCCAGGTCCAAAAGGAAGACAATTTAAACAAAGACATGCTCCTCTAAAAGTAAATGCAACGAAGATAAAGGTAATATGGGCCCCATACAGAAAATGCTGCTTACATTTCCAATGTTCCTGGGCCTGTAATCGGAGGGAAGGCCTCCCAGGTACAACTTTCCTTCCACATCCAAGGTGGTGCCATCTCCCACCGTGCTCACCATGGGGGATTCCTGGCCATCAACCGTCATGAAGCCCTTTCTTTTAAAGTACTCTGTCTTGACCTAGAGCAAAACGAAAACATTCATGATTTTTAAGGATGGGAAAACATTAACAGATGTTTGTTTGCAACTCGGTTCATTGGAGCTGTAATAACCTGACTGACATCCTAAAGGATGGCTCAGTTTGACACAGCTGGCGTTGCTAGGAGACTGAGCCTGCCAGAAGACGGAAGTAGGCACAGGCAATGCATGTTTTAGAAAAGTGAGTGTGCCCGAGTCTGACTGATAAGAGAGCAGGTGCCATGATCTCAGGTTTGGGCCAGTCACACCATGGGTGACTTAATTTACTTCTTGTCAAGTTGAGAACATTTTGGGACCTTTCATTTATTCCACCAATGTTTGCTGAGTGCCTGTGAGGGGTCAGGCACTGAGCTAGGTCCTGGGGATATTTCAGGAAGCAGAAAAGGCCCCTGCCTGCAAGGCACTTACATTCTATAGGAGAGATGACAAGCACAAAGCAAGCTAGAAACCCAAGGGAATAATGTTACTACGAGGAATAGATGGAATAACACTTGGAAGGCGTGACCAGGAGCTTCCTGGGAGCGTACCGTGTGCCACTTGCCATCACTGATCAGCGCAGGGTGAGAGACCTTTGTCCTTCCTTTCCCAAGGTCAAACATGAAGTGGAGGTGGCCCCCGTGCAGCTGGAGTGTGGCGTAATCCACTTGGTTCTGGTGGGCCATGTAGTAAATCAGCCCACTGGAGGCAAATGTTCGGATACTTAGCTGAACTGAGAGCCTGGAGGAAAAGAAGAGCTCAGCCCGCAGAAAAGGAAAAGCTTTCCTCACATTTACTTTCTAAAATAACCTCAAAGAGAGGACCCAGTAATTATTCCAACATTATATTTAGCAACTCAGGAGAGTATGGTTACTGCATGCCCATATCTGCCAGGCACTGTTCTAGGAGCTGAGGCTAAGGCAGTGAACAAAGGGAGGTTTCCTTCTCCCATGAAACTAATTCCAGAAATATACCAGAGAGCTGAGACTGGGTCGTGAGGAGGCCAGTGTTGGCTATGTTAAGTAGGCAGGAAGGCAACCCTGAAAGATGGTATTTCAGCTGAACTCGGAATGACAGACTCGAGCCCCAAGACCTCTGCAGGAAATCCTCACGAGAGCCACGTGGGAGATGGCACCACACAGTGGGGAAGGGGAAGGCTGTGTCTGGTGATCTCCCACAAAGGCAATGTGGGGTCACTGAAGCAACCTGGGATAGGAAAGGGGGGTGTGGCTCCATCCTCATGAATGAGGGGCTCTGGGAGGCAGTATTTAGGTTTCATTTTAAGTGCATTGGGAAGTCACAGGAGGGTTTTAAGAAGAGGCGAGGGCATGGCTTGATTTATATCTTAAAAGAAACTTCAGATGTAAAGAACAAATCTGATGGGGCCAGGGTGACAGCAGGCTCAGGCAGGCAGCTGTTAGAGGCCTGGTGGTGGCTTCAGCCAGGGTGGTGGTCGGGGGATGCAGAGGAGGTGATCTAATGCATGAAATGCTCTGGGGGAAGAAGCAATAGGACTTGCAGAATTTGGAGAGGGAAAGAAAATAACCTCAAGATTTGGGCCTTGGACAACCAGGTGAATGGTGATGATGTCTACAGAAATAGCACAGACCAGGAGGACAGGTTTGCGGAAGAATGAATTTCCTTTTGGTGTGTTGAGATTGAGGAGCCTGTCCCAATCCACAGAGATGTCAAGTAGCCAGTTGGGTACACAACTCCTGAGTTCTAAGTGAAGGTCAGGGCTAGAGATGTGGGTGTTGGGCAAATTGAAGGTATTTCAAAGCCGCCTGGGAGAATATGGGGAAGGGACCTTGGCCTTTACTGGTGGAAGATGAGCCAGCAAAGGAGACTGAGCAGGGAGAGAGCAGGAAATCAGGAGGGTGTGAGTCAAGGATGTCAAGTGGCCAAGTGTGCGTGATGCTGCTGAGGGCCCAGCAGCAGAGGTACAACAGGAGGTGCCATAGCAGGTCTTGGGACAACTCTGGAACTAGGAGCAGAGGAGTGCTTGCTTTGGCAGCACATACAGGAAAATCGGAACAATACAGAGAAGATTCGCATGGCCCCTGTGCAAGGATGACATACAAATTCATGAAATATATATATATATATATATATATATATATATATATATATATATATATATGTTAAAGAGCAACAGAGGAGTGAGGGGAGGCTGACTTGATGGGTAGGGGAGGAAATGAGGGGTGAGAAAGGCAGACAGCCACATAAAACGACTCCTTCAAGAAATCTTACTGCACAACAGACCCAGGACACCATTGCACAGTAATGGTATCCTGCAGAGTTTCTATTTTAAAAGTTAAAAACTACTAGAAAGGGCATGGTTACAGGCATAAACTCTAGGGCCGTAGTGCCTGGGTTTGAATTCCCAGCTCTGCTGTGTGACTCTGAGCAGATGACTTGACTTCCCTGTGCCTCTCAATTTCCTTGTCTATAAAATGAAGATAACAATAATACCTTCCTCATAGGATAGTTCTGAGGACTAAGTTAGGGGGTGTGTGTAAAATATACTGAGACAGTCTCTGGCAGTGTTTATTCTCACTGATGATGAGAGCGATGAGGATTCTTTGTTGATGAGAATTATGTATGAAAGAAGGAGATATGTTTGCTGCTGTTGTCTCTGAGAGGAGAGAGGTGACAGGCTCTGGAGGGCGAGCGAGAGGAGAACGAGGACTGTTCCTCCATGGTCGCAGGGGAAGAGGGGGAGGTGTGGGGACAAAAGCAGTGGATAGCTCTTTTCGGAGGTGGACAGATGAAGTTCTGTCTTCTCAGTGAGGCAAGTCATCAGCTGGGGCAGGAAGTGGGATATATGAGTTTTGAGATAAGAGGAGAAACTATGAAATAATAAAAAAATATATAAGCATAATAAAGAAATGTATTGGCTCCCCATGTAGCCTGAGGTTCTATGTGTGGCCATAGCTTTAATGTCAAACCAGGTAGGAAGGAGACATGCGTTTCTGCAGCCTTGACCACCAGCTTGGGTTCTGGCATGAATTAGGCCAAGAACAAGTGTGGGTTTTACCTGTGGTCAAGATAGAGGAGATGTGGGTATTAAGGGGGTTTGCAAAGGAATGTGTAATAATGGCATCCCACCTCTCAGAGTGGGGGATAAATTGCACTTCGGAGCTAGAGAAGGGGGTGATGATCATGAGAAAGCATGAGGGCTTAGAGGTCTTGATGAAGCTGAGGAACTCCTAGGGGAGCAACAGAGTAGAGATGAGGAAGAGGTAAGTATATAGGATGCTTAAGTAGAGACTTTGGAGGTGGAATAAATACTTATGAAGTAGGTAAGGGGATGACCATGGGGAAAGTGTGGCTGGGGAGGGAGAAAAAGAGCTCTGACAGACTGGAACCAGAGGACTTGGAAGGCCCGGTGTTGGGTGGCTGTGAATTCGTGGAGAATGACGGCAGGAATGGTACAAAAAGACACTAAGCTACAGTCTGAAGGTGGTGGGGGTGGGGGTTGATCACAGAGGGCAACAACAAGAGGAGCAGGGCGTGGCAGAGTCTAGAGACATGAACTTCAGATCAGCCAGAGATTCGATGCAGAGAGGAGAGAGGTGGAGTTGGAGGTCCCTTGGCCAGCCTCAGGCCTCTAGATCTGTGGCATGTGAGCCAGCGTCCCCTAGAAGGTTCCTTGGGGACAGGCAGGTTTGAGGGCGAGATAGAATGTGTCGACCAATGTGAATGTGCTCCTGGGGAATTCTGAGGGGCACAGTGAGAGTTTGGGTAGACAATTTCATGAGATTAGTGAATCCTTACAATAGAATGGTGTTGAAAGTCTAGATGATGATAGATCTAGAGGACTTTGGATTCTGGACTGAGGAGTGATTTAGATAGATTCTTCCATGCTTTCCTACATCACACAGAGGCTAAACCAACCATCATCTATAAGAGGTGAAGATAAACTGCAGGAACCCCACTTCTCCACACTGTAAGTATCTGATTTGCATGAAGGCTGCTTTCCTATCTCCTTGCCTTCTCATTGTGCCTTTCTGTGCCAGTTGAGCGCT